AGTTATTTACGCAGCAGGCGCATTCTCCGTAATGTGTGAGTGTTTGCTTTGTATGTGTGAATGGGTCTGTGCAAAGGACCCAGCGGCATTTTTGGCCAGAGACCACCCACCACCCACCGCCCCACAAGGAGCACGGAGCCACCCATCCACCCACCACCCATTGCAGATTTATAGCCTGCAGCAGTTTTTAGTGTTTTCCCTTTGTTTCGCCCTACGTTTTGTTTATTTGGTTTTGCAATTGTTAAAAGTTTATGTCGTTTTTGTTGCGGCTGTTGCATTTCGCACACACAGTTTCCACTTGGACCCTACGAACAACAAGTTTTTGTTATTCGGGGGAGTGGCACTGCCAGAAATACCTAGAAAAACAAAATGAAAATAGAGTAAACCGAAGTAAGCTACAAAAAAACTGTGGTATTTCTGGGTGCACCAACTGTGATTTTGTCGCTCTGATTTGTTCCATATATTTTTTGGCAACGTTGCTTAATTAAACGTGAACTATTGCCAGATGGAGTTTAAATATCGGCAAATTTTGCCTGAGTTGGCGGTAAAAATCAGAAAAGCTGTAGGTATAACAATGTGTATTTTTGGTTAAGCCTGTTTATTACTTTATGCCTAGTACTCACTTCAATCGAAAAGCCTACGAAATGAAAATCTCCATACAAATTTTTGATCACGAAATTTATCGCCTGTCATTTTTGTATAGAAATTCTCGTTTCGTTGCCTTTTTGATTGAAGTGAGTACTAGGCCTTAAAAGAAAAAAAACTTGTAGAGACGTTAGGCTGAAAAACAAACGAATAAATATTTTAGCAGCCCTAATTACACTTTCATTTGGACATAAAATGATTCTCTCTCAAATAAATATTTCCAAGAATGCTCCAATTTAATTCGTTATAATCGCCCAAAGCTCTGTTCACAGTTCTCCCCTTTTGCCAGTGGCTTCTGAAGTTTCCCGAACTTCTGCATTAATACCAATTTGCACTTGTCAATCAGGGCAACACTCCGCAGCCAGAGACCTACGAAACTTCTAATGAGCCTAATTATTTCAACTATTTAGCCAAATACACAGACACAACGCAGGGCGAAGTCTTTTTGGAGGGCGGAAAGTGGGGAAAAGCATTCCAATGCTTGCCAAATTTTGCTAATGATAAATAAATTATGCGACAGCAGCCGCACAAAATGCCAAGCTACCGACCCCCTCCCAAGCCACCAACCCACCGACCAAAGAACCACAAGCAGAAAACAAATAAACTCACTTCGCAATGCCAAAAGATAAGTATACGCCCCATGGTCCTGTGGCCCCTCAGTCCTTAGCACATTAAAGCCTGGAGGGTGCGTGAGTGTGAATGCGAAAGCGAATGGTATCGCATTACCGAAAGCAAGCGCACATGCGTTAATAAACAAAATCTGTTGCTAATGTACAAAATAAGTTAATTATGGCAACGCAAATGCGAAAATGCGAAATACTCTCTCTGCTGGCGACAACTTTTGCAGCTTTTCCAAAACTCCCACCGACACTCTCTGGGTTTTTTGGACTGTGGATTTTGAGGGTCGGGAATCGTGTTTATACAGTAAGAGGTGCACTTTTCCTGCACTCTGCTTTGTTCTTTGTGCGCGATAATTGCGTTTTATGGCGTTGTGGCAAGCAAACAAATAAACAAGCCGGTAAACAGACGAGATCGGGATGGGAGTGCGAATATATTTGTGCACATAGTGCTTGCATGCTGGCAGTCACGCCACCGAAACAAATAATTACAAATTGCATTAATAATAAACAAACAGAGACGCGGGTCTCTAAGCCTGCTTTGCGAAACCCCCCGATTTCGATTTACCTTTTGGCAATTTTTGCGTGACTAGCATAATTTGCTTGGTGGCCGAATATTTTGGCCCAGCCACGCCCACTCGTATGCCACTGGCATTTTCACAAGCCCAGAACCGCAGGAAATTTGCATATTTTATTTGTAATTTGTTTGCCGCCCGTCAATATTATTTTGCAATTAATATTTCAATGATAAAACCGATGCAGTTGTGGAGAGGGTTTCCCAATCATTTCAAAATGCACAAATACTCTCCACATGATAAAATATATCGTTATGAATACAAAATACGAAATAACCATTAACTGATACTAAAAAACTTATTACAAAAATGCATTTTTAAATAAAGGAAGTTTATATTAACTTAGTCGTGAAGAATACAACTTCTTTTTATTTATTGAATTCAATTTATTGAAGGTAAAGTGCCAATAATGATTTATTCAGTATTTCATAGTCTGCCCTATTTTATATTTTCATTGTCAGCAACTCGATTTGACCAATAAAATGTTGTCTTTTTTATTTGACGCATTCGAGTGAGTACTAAAATTATATTTGAATTGCATTTTATTATTAGTGAGCAAATGGCGAAATTGATTACGAGTGTCCAGTGTTGGTTTACCATCGGTGTGCTCATGGGATTTATGGCATTCATATGTCCCTGATTATTATGCACTTTTGGTAGAGCATAAACGGATGGAAACGAGTTTATAGAGTCGGCGGACCGTGAAAACCCCCTTCACAATTCCCGGGAAAATCAAATCAAATTTATTACTAATCCGCACAGCTTTCAATGCACTGATTTATAGTCGCACTTCTTGGGGGAATGGCAATGGCTTTGGCCTGCAGTCCGTCGTACATCAGAACAATAGCAGCCCGCTTTTGGTTCTAATTCACTTTTACTAATACACCACTTTGCCGCCAACCCCAGCCCATTAACCCCATCCATTAGCGCCACGGCCTCCATTTAATAGAGAGCTGATGCCTCAGATTCCCGTTCTGCTGATGCCGGAATGCACTTCCCCGCCAATCCTCACAATGCCGTGAACTGGAGTGCACTGGATTTTGGGGCTGAAAAAGACCTACAATGACGCACTCCAAAGAGTCACGGATCACGATGCCTCAATCCCTTCCGCTACTCCCATAAAACTCCCACCCCCTCCGCTGATGCCGAAAAATCGGAGATGTGTAATATTTTAGACACCCGACTCTAAATTATATTTATTATTATTATTAGGGAGGAGAGTCTTAGACCTTTTTTAACCATACAAAAGTGTAATAAATTAATATTTATTTTCTAAATAAATAAGTATTTTGTTTGTACAATAAACCACTTGTAAAGAAATTAAAATAAATAGGTATATTAATGTAGTTTTTCAAGACAAAATAATTGAATAAATTAAATATACCTATGCCTTAAATTTTTTCTAACATTTTAACTTTTAAAATAACTTTTCTAGTCCTGAAAATATCTAGAGCGACAGCACTGACTGCGAATGGGGAAATGTCCCCATTGAAATGCTGCTTAAGCTGTTCATTAGCAGCGGAGTAATGGAGCAACAGCCTGACACAGATTCGCTTTGGCAAGTGAGGATTGCCATTGCCCCTCGATTCACCCCTTTTCGATGCCGCATTCGATTCTATTCGATTCGACTCGATTCGTTTCGATTCCGGGCGCCATAGTGTTCAGTTTTGTGGCCATGGCGACACGGCAGCCGGGGGTCATTAAAAACTTTTTACAAGCATTCAGCATCAGCATTAGCGCTGCGCTGCCCGAAAGTGGAGTGTGTGTGCGGGATCTGATTCCTCCGCTGATTGCCATTGACAGGCTGCCTGGAGATTGGATCCCCATTCCCATGCCCATGCCCGTGTCAGCCCTTCGCTTCTCCTTCTCCTTCTCAAAATCGAAACCCCTTTTTGTCTGGCTGTGTGACACCTCGCCACCGCTTAGAACCGCCTGTCAATCCCTTTTATTGCCCAGCACAGCACTCTCCACTTCCCACTTTCTCCCACTTTCCACTTCCCATCCGCCAGATCTTTGCCACTTCGTCAATCAATTGGCGGCAGTGTATCGTTGTCCCTTTTATTTGTATTTTATTACGCCAAAGTGTTGTTTCGAATGTCATTTCAAGCATCGATTGTTTGTATCTGCACTGAGAAAACACACACTTGACAAAAAACTGTTTGTCTTCTAATAATATTTTAACAAATGCGCTTTTAGATGCGACAGATATGTAAATAGTCTATTTATTTATTTTAAATTTGAAAGAAAAATTAATTAAATCATTTTTTACTAAATATCATTGTCGAATGCTAGTGTTTTTTTATTATTTTTTTACTAAAAATAATCGGTGATTATTAAGTCGCCAATTAACAAATGAAATTATTTATTTTATTTTTATCTTTGTATGAGTATGGGTTTTTCGTACTTTTTTAATTTCCAAAGTTAGTGGGAAGATCGCCCATTCACTCCATACTTGGAGTTGAAGTCACATTCGAGGCACTTAATTGAGCAGTCGCCGCGGCGGACTTGGCAAAAAATAAGTGGGGCAGTCAATTGAGTTAGGGGTTCGAGTGTGGTTGACAGTGTCCCATCCCCACAGATGCCCAGATACCACTTGAAAAGGGATGACAGCCGGGGGGAGGGGGTGCTGACTAGGGAAGCCCGACAAATACTTCATTAAATTGAACAAATGAAACTCCTAAAGTGCCTTTCAATGGCCTCGAATTCTGTACGCTTCGGAAAATAGTTAAGATGCTGCGAAGTTGCCATGAGATTTATTGGAAGCATTCGCAGAATATTTATTAATAGTTTAAAGAGTCGTGAAAAATGTACTACTACTACGGTAGGATAAAAAATAAATTAATTGAAATAAATTAAATTATATTTTAAATTAATAAATAATAATCGGGATGATTACATTAAATTATTAATTTTGTTTTTAAACATAAATTTTATTTAGGAGTGTTAGTCACCTTACTGATGTGAATAAAACATTAACTAAACTAATGTTTAAGATTTTGTGATCATGTTTATGCCTTTTATGCAGTATATTCCTTATATTGGCGCTGATATAACTTTTAAACTTCTCTGATTTGATGGCCTTTCAAATTCCATCTTTGATGTTTTGCGATTGGTAAACATTATCGTTGGCATTATAATTAGACTAAACAAGTTGTGGACTCACCCATGCTCAGCAGCAGAACGGAGAGGAGCAGCAGGAGGAATCTGGTGGGGATGGTCCGGCAGACTGACTTTCTCCGGCTCTGCCGATGTCCCGTTTCCGTGGCGGCCCTTCGGTGTCCCATTTCGGGAATTTCGCTCAAGTCGCCGGCTGACAAATCTCCGCTAAGTTGAAGCTCCACCATTCCGAGGGGGCAAGTACTATTACTCCGCTTGTCGGGCAAATGTCTTGCATTTGCGGCAAAGACCATTTAATAAACACTTCAACGCCACACGCCGCACTGTCTGTTCCGTGTGACTCTCGATGGGGTTGGGGAAATGGGGGATGGGACGGAATATGCTAATTATTAATGCACGACTGGCAGCGATTCGGTTTTATTTGCGTTTGGCAAATTGGCTCATAAACAAAATGTCTGCGCTGAATTTCCCTCGGAGAATCGCGCTAATAAGCAGCCGGATAATTAATAATTTGGCCGCGCCGCAGTTTTTCACTTTCACTCAAGCTGGCTTTCGATTGGCACTCCACGAATTTGCACATTTCGCTGATTGTTTATACATTTCGATTTCGATTTCCGCCCGTTAATTGTTGCACGTCCCCGATGTTTTTCCTCTGGTCTTGATTTTTGTTTCTTTGATTTCGGCTCTAGACAACATCTATTTGCCATCCGCCGAGTACTTCACTTCGCGCACTCATAAATGGCCCTTGTGTCCAGCTGTTTTGCTCCCGGAAGTGCTCTGCAAAGCGGAATGAATAACAAACAAACTTTAGTTATTGTGTAATTAAATAGAGCAGCCGTCGTCCCCCAACCGCAAGTTTTTGGCATGTAAACAAAATGTGAAAGCCGAACCGAACCGAATTCAAATCTGAGTCTAAATTTTCCCGAGAGCGACACTCCGCGCCTACGACAAGTTGACAGCAGACTGAGGAGTTATCAGGACGGTCCCCAAGAACACACCCCGAAAACATGAAAACATGAGGACAACCAGTGGTGTGACGTAGAGCAGCGTTAGCGTTTCCAAAATTAGCACGCTGGAAGGCCGACGGCAGAATGTTGCTGGAACCGCAGCAACATGTTGCCGATGGCAGCCAGAATATTTCCAAAGAAAGCAAAGGGGATAATATTTAAAATAAAAAGGAAAAATGGTGTGAGAGAATAGATTAAAATTAAAAGAAAATAGTTTACAGAAAAATATTTAAGAAGCCGTTTTAAAATAATTAATTAATTTATTCAAATATATTAAAAGGTTTTCTGAAATTGTAACCTTTATTCGGTTCAAATTTTAATCTTTTGTGGTACAAAAAAAAACAAATCTAACCAACATAATTTTAACAAGTTTTTTATTGCTCTTAATTGTCCCTTAAAAGCATTAGTATTTTAAAAATCATCGTTAGAAAATCATACACGAATATAAATCAAATACCGAATATTTAAGCAAATGAAAAATTTTATAACAGAATATGTGAAAATAATAAAAATAATAAAATGAATTTGTCAACCGACGTTAGGCTTCTAAAGAAGTGAGATACCTCTATGCCAAATTTTTTCCCTGTGCATTGGCAAAGCAATTCAAAAATGATAAATAATAACAAATCATGTGAAACACAACCCGAAATGCAAACAAATCAAGGAGCGGAGTTTAATTTAACGAGAACAAAGTGAGTTCTTTGTGAGTCCCATTTTTGTTCCTGCTAATGAGGCTGTGCACAAGTGGCAGCCTCTTCAGCCTCATGTGCACAATGCGATATATGTGAGCTTAACCCTTTCAGGGCGACTGGAGGATGCGGCCACTTAACCCGTTACGGCAACTGTTTGTCCTCCGCCCTGCGGTCGCTGCTCCGGCGTTTTGTTTATTTAAGTTGCAATTACTTTTTGCCACCCCCATGCAACAAATTTCCCGGCTTTCATTGCTCTGCGTTTTGTAAGACTTCGGGGGGAGTGGGAGTTGAATAGAGGGCGGCGGTGGGGGTGTGAAGGTTGCCCTGCATAAAGGAAAACACAACTAGATCCACTCAAGTGCAATGACATCATGGCAAGCATTCATAATGCTCATTAGCTGATCCCCTACCCCCTAGCCCTTCTCATCGCATCCACCCGGCGGCCATGTCAAAATGCCATTTTTATGTGGCACACGCGCTGCACTCTTTTTCTGGCAGCTTATCGATGCTGGCTCCATTTCCATTGCCACTTCTATTGTGCACTTGAAAAAATAAATACATGATTAAAATAAAATTCCATAAACAACGAAATATTGTTTTATAAATTTTAATACAAATAAATTACATTTTACAACTTAAAGAGTTTTTCCCAAAGATGGCATCCTTTTTACTCTCAGGTAATTCCCGTTATTTTTCGAGTGCACCCACTCGCCACTTGGTTTTTATGGCCGGCATGAAGCACACCTCGATTAATGCATATATATGTGGGGTAGAGTAGAGCAGAGAGGGGCCGAATAGAGCTATATGGAGCTATATGCCACAACAACATGCCCATGCACTTAGCAGTTTTATTGTATTGTATGTCTCGATGTCGGGACAACTTCCACTTCCACTGCTACATTCACGGCAACCCCTTGACAAACGCAACACGTGCGATTTGAGAATTTTATAAAAGTGTTTATTGGCCTCCTTAAGATCGTGTTGTTGGCGCTGCTCCCCGCGGATCCACATTCTCCCCCAGAAGTCCCCCTGAAATCGTCCAGGAATGGGAACACGCTGACATTGACGACGCTGACAAGTTTTTAGTGCTCTAATGAAAATTAAAACACATAAAAATGGCTGAGAAACCGCACAATTAAATGGGCGGATTGGCAGATGGGCAGGAAATTGGGGGCGGTAAAGGGAGTAATTCCCGAGAAACATATGGGTGTGTATTAAATTGTTATGTGGCCTCTGCCGAGGACTATAAACGGTTCGAGTACTCCAGTTTTACGGTGGGTTCAAGGCCAGGTACTTTCATACTGCTAAAATGTCTACTGGGACAAGTTATAAAGCTCTAATTTAAATTTCAGCTTGGGACCACCAAAACGTTTGCAAATGTTAAGTCTTAGAGGTAAAATAATAAGGTAAGTTGTGAAATTAAATGTGATACAAAAAACCTTTTAACTATAACTTCCAACTAAACCTTATTTAATAGCGGAGAATACTTATATATCACTCATATCAATCAATTTATGCATCACAGACATTCACTATGAATATGCAAATTGACATTATATGAAAATGATTTGATCGATTTACCCAATGAGAAATCTGCATTGTTTGGGAATACATTTTTGGTTTCGAAAATATTTGTTAGCACACACAGGGCCACATTTCGAGTTCAAAGGAAAGTGTTTTAATTAAAAAGGCAGGGAGATCGCATGCCATCGGGTCCTTGGCGAAGGCCACAAGCACTCCTCCACTCATAAGCCCTCAATGGCTCTGGTGTCTGTACATTTGAAAGTTTCAGCTCGTATCTGTGTCACATTTGCTGGCAGCTCTCATCTCATTGTCATTGCACATTGTTGCTCTATTTAAAACAGACCCACACATGCAATCTAGCACCTTGTCAGTCCATTGTGGCAGACAATTTGGTATAGGTATATGTATTGGAACTGCTGCCACACGTTGACATCGCACCACAGAGAGTCCTGTCTACACGGCTGCCACCGCCTCCTCCTCGTCCTCCTCAGTCGCCCTCGAATACGCCGCCCTTTGTCAGACCGAAAAATGCAAATTTTCTTTGACATGGCAAGTACAAGATAATAATTCTCTCACACATACTAACTGCGGAATGGGGAAGGGTTGCACTGAGAAAAAATATGGCCTCAATAGTGAATATTTTACGGAATTTAAGAAGAACACTTTCTTAAGTTTAAAAGGATAGTTTTTTTGAAATAATACATTTTTATTTTATATTTATTTATAATATTTATATTAATTTAAATTATAAAATAAAAGAAGCAAATAAATATTTTCTACGAAATAACACTAATACCATTAGTCCTGATGTTTAATAATCCGTTTGACTAAATCAAGAATTCTAAGACTATTTTTTTAAGTAGATAATTAAAAAGAAATTTAATTATAATAATAAATTCCATGTCAAAGGTTTTTCATTATGTATTTTCACTGAACATTTTTCTGGGATTTGTACAAACTTGTTAACTCGTAAATATTTGAAAAGAACATTACAGATAATTTTACGAATACTATTTTAAATTAATATTTAAGAAACAATATAATTGAAAGTTGCATTTTTATTTTGAAGTTTACTTTGTTTTTGAATTTCAGTGATTCCCCACATTTTTTCCCCTACCTCGCCACATAGAACACTGACAATTTCCGGTTGCTGCGGAATGTATTCAGCCTCTGTGGCAGTTCTTCAGTATCTTTGTCACACACGAAGGCTTGCCAATTGAAATTTATGCGTTACCTTGGTGTCAATTAAAGACGCTTATGCTGCTGTTTAATTTTCACAGAACAGAACAGAGGACGCTTTTTGTACAGAATATCCCCGAATGGCCCATTATTGGTTGCTGTAATAGTAATGGCCATAACATGTAATGCAGGATGCCGCCCCGCAGATACAGATACATTTGTATCTGAAAATGGATCCTTGGCACATTAATCGATTCGCCCGGCGGCCCAAGAGCGATTTCGCTTTGATTAGCGTTGCACAATTATACGCTGGCCGTAATCGAATGCAACTGCAGCTGCATCGCTTGTATGCGAAACCGAATCTGAATTTCAATCCGAATTAGACGGCAGTTGGACAATGGGCTACACGCAGCGGAATGCAAATGCGACATGTTTCGCCCATCACTCCGCATTTTGGGCCGGAATGCACACAGGCACGAACTTACATGTATCTTCAATCCGCCTTTGTTGTTTGTTGCAATAAATAAATTAACCATCAGGGATCAGGGCGGAAAGCGGGAGTTATGGCAATAATGGCCTGGCGCAAATATGTTAATGTGTCATAAGGAGGGCAACATTTTTTAATTATGCACACTTTTAATGGCTTTAATTGCAGTTAAAGAGCTACAAAGTAGGCTTTAATCGAAAGTGGCAAACGGCCTGGAAAAAGTAAAAAGCGGGAAATGCAAATGGTTAAAAAATTGAAAATGTTGAGCAAACAGCGGCGGATGTTCAGGTTGTGTTAAATGTTGATTTATGGCCAGGAAGAGCGGCGCACAATGCCTGACTGCGAATTAAATTTACATATTAATGCCGCAGCGAACTGAACTATCGAGAAGGGCCAGTCTATTTAACAGAGCTTCCTTTTCATCCGCTTGAAGCACCACAAGAATTCCATCAAAACGGGGGCTCTTCCCTTTCCTTCAAAACCTCTTCAGAACCAATACAAATTGGATCACGGGAAAAAAATTAGAAAAGTGCTTAAAGGATATACATACAAATAAATTAATAATTTTTTTCATTTTAAATTGTATACCTTGTATCAAAAATATTGAAAATAATCAAACAATGAGCATCAAAGAAATAAAAATTCCAAAAATTTCCTTGACCTTTGATCTTTGATCATATTTTTCTCTGTGTAAGTCCCACTTGTTTTTCCCCGGCACTGACTATTTTTGGACACTGTCTGCCATTTTGCATGGGCGGCATAATAATCATTGACCTTTTTATGGCTGCCTCACGCGCCTTTTAATAAATTGAAAGCGCCGAAAATGTTTACTTCCTACAATTGAGGCCCCGACAAAAGGGAAAATCAATGTTCCAATAAGTCAGCGGC